ATATATATGCGCAGTGGTACTCCTGATTATAATAGGTCCATCATACAGATAAGAATGATAAGAATAAAATAAGAATGCATTATTCTACTGTTTAACAACAGATTATATCATTTTGGATTGCAGTCCTCATGGCGAATGTAAGGGATATTTGGACCTTTACAGTGTACACCCAGAAAGTGTTTTGCTTTTTGCTGTATTTCAGGTTTCTTTATCTTCCTGTTTTATTGTCTGATGAAAGACAATGTAAGGAAGCAGTGGAGGATACATCTCTGCTGTGGAAGATTCAGACAGACTGAATACTCAGGTTTGTCTCATATAAACTATAGTAAATAGCTATAGAGAAAATATTATAATAATAATAGTGTACAATGTTTGAATTATACAAAACTGCATATCAAACACCAACCAAAAATAATAATAATAGAAGGTTGTAGATTAAGATTTATTAACAAGTAAAGAGCATCCCATCTAAAAAACACAAAACTTATCAGAGAGAATATTTCTTGAAAAATTAATTGAATAAACGATCATTTGAATTTTGACCAGACTGGAGCCGTTCTGTTACACTGGGGGCCAAAGCGAAAGGTGGTCTAAAAGTCTCCTCACCGTCCATGAAGTCAGAGACTACCAGTGAAAGGAAGATCTCCGATACCTCAAACTCAGGGACCAGCCATAATGGTGTTTTCCTGACACAGGACAGAAAACAATAAAAAGAGGGAATATGAATTCTGTGTATTCAATTTCTTTTTGTGTTTGTTAAATGACATGTTTGGAAATCTCCAGCAGAAATTCATTAATGGCTTCATTAAGTTGTTTTTTTCTGTTTGTCAACTATATTGTCATTATTTCATTGATTTAAAAAAATATATAGTTTCAATGATTCTTTTATTTCTTCCAGAGAGATGAATTACTGAGGTCACCTGTTTAAATGTGTTATGACTTGTGTCATTCAACTGACTGATATCTATACATCTGTATACTAGGTATTACTAGGTAGTCATTTTTGCTTCAGACTATCAGTATTAAAAAAGACTAGCAGCTTTCCCTCCTGCCAGGTCTAAAACATTGTTGCAAGAAATCATTCAAAATACAGAAGTTGGCTCATACAGTAATAGTAACAGGGTTTTTAACATATGTCTAAACTATGTTTGTGTTACACTTTGCATATATGTATTAAGATTTATTGCGACATATTAATAATTAAGATAAATTATTGCGATATATTAATAATCAATGTTATCTGATCCACAGTGTCAACGGGAAAATGAAGTAAAACAACATGTCCTAAAAATATTAGTTCTGTCTCTTCTGTCAGTGTCTTTTTTTTTCTAGAGATGATGACAGTTAAATGGTCTAACTTGTTCAGTCACATTCTACTCGTGCTGGTTAAAGTTCACAGATTAACGCCCCACATTTAAGGGCAAAAAGTGAAGTAGTTTCTTGTAGTCGACGTACAAATTTAAGGGAAACGATCAAACTTATTTAACTAGCGTTTTCAAATCTCGCGCAACAGCGGATATTTTGCCTTTACTTTATCAATGTAATTGCAGCGTCTGACACTCGAGATTTCACGACTGTCGCACGGTGAGTAAAAACGGTGGCTATTTCCATTACAGCAATATTTCATCATTTTAAAATTGCTTTAACAAAAACGCAACGAGTTAAGCGTTAATGCTGAATTCTATAAATCTGGATACAATCAAGTGCTATACTGAACCTAGTAATTTACGTGCGTCAACCCACAGTTTGCTGTTTAGAGAGGGGACAGACAGTAATATTCTACCAGTATTAAGATTTAATATTTAACAGATATTTATCTGCATTTTCGTGCATATGTAGTCTTCAATTATAACTTTTGATACACCTAAACAATTTCAGAAAACCTTCAGATAATATCGATCATCAACCACAGGTGGTCTAACTAAATTATATTACTAAATATTAACTTAAAATATAAAATGTCTTATTTAACATTTATTTTAAATATAGTTTGCAGGCCTGTTACCAAAATTTGGTAGTTTAGATAGATAGATAGATAGATAGCAATGCATTTAACACATCAACATTTAATAAACAACATTATAAAATGTGTTTGACATATGATGACGTTCCCTTTCATGGGAACTTCGAACTGCGTCCTCTAGGGGTCGCTATGGGGGACGCCTCGTCGTGACCCGTGTCTGAAGCGTACATTGAAAAAACACCAACTCGTTGGCCGGCGACAGCCATGACGTCACTACCGGTGCGACTATAGTATAAATAGGCGCCGGGAGCACACATCATTCTCTTCTTCGTCTTCACTGACCGGCTGCGTCCTCTAGGTTTCTTGCCATGCTGCGGACGCAAGCTTCAGATGAAGAAGTGAATGATGTGTGCTCCCGGCGCTTATTTATACTATAGTCGCACCGGTAGTGACGTCATGGCTGTCGCCAGCCAACGAGTTGGTGTTTTTTCAATGTATGCTTCAGACACGGGTCACGACGAGGCGTCCCCCATAGCGACCCCTAGAGGACGCAGTGTCTCGTTCCCTACTCAGGAAACCATGGTTACATAAGTAACCTGAGACGTTTTGTTCAATGCCATCCACTTTTAATTTATTAAACATATCTCATATTTCTCATAGGCTAACAAAAACAAATGGTCCCTCTAATGCTTTAAAAAAAAGTTTTCTGTGGAAAGTGCAAGATTTTGTTCTTTAGCAGAATAGTACTTACCTGCATAAGTCGTCAACCAAAAAATGCATAAAAATTTATTCTGTCTCATGTTGATCTAAATAATATGTCTTATTGCAGCTCTAGAAGATAACGCCTAAATACTCAACCCGATCTCATGAAAGTGCGTATAAATAGTACGCCAAATAAAACCGAAAACTCGTGGTATTGATACGCAAAAATGGACTTTGTCGTGTATATGCTACGCGATGGGTAGGTTTAGGGTTGTGGGGTAGATGCGTATCATATGTACGCGAAAACTGCGTATCATATGCACGGCAACAAATTTCGTATCATATGCACGCGAAAACTGCGTATTATATGCACGCCAAACACATGCGTATCATATGAACGCCAAAGTCCATTTTTGCGTATCAATACCACGAATTTTCATGAGACCGGGCTCAAATACTTGAGTAATTGATGCTAAAATAATCTAAATCCACTTAGCAAATATAGAACAGTTGGGCTGTGACATATCCCATGCTTACATACTGCCATTCATCAATATCATTGAAAGAATGCAAATAATGCCATGCTATTGCAATTTCATATTAGATTTAGAAGACAAATAATTAAACACACAATAATCTGTCACCACGGCAGGATAGATGGATAAATGATGTAATGCATACTGTTTCTGCAGTACCTAGATCAGTGATGGAGGAGGGTCTAGGGAACCCTGTGGCTAAGAAGACTAAAGAGGAGTCTGGTAGTGTCCTTCTCACCTACTTCCAAGGAGACATCAACAGCATGGTGGATGAACATTTCTCCCGTGCTCTGAGTCAAGCAAATAAACCGAAGGAGGAACGCTCCAAAATCAAAAGAAACCATGAAGTTGCTCAAACAAGTAACTGTTCCTCTTAAATTTTGCTTTTACACAAAATATGTGACTTGCTAAATGAATTGAAACATTGAATTCCTGTTTTGATTTATTTCTTTATTTTATTTTTAGATGGACTTTCAAGTCAATGGGAAGCAGAGTCACAAACCAGGTTTCAGCCCTTGTTTCCTCCAGAACATCTCCGGCAAGGAACAAGCAGCAAGTCTCAATCCAACCATCAAATGCCACCAAATCACCCTGCAAACAGTGCTATTCTGTGGTCAGGGGATTCTAGGCAGGGATTGAGTGTTGTTCTGCCCCCCATGATGTACCCCTCGGCTGTATCCTCTGATGGTTTGATGGTGGCAGAACATCAGTACTCTAATTCTCTGTTAAATTTCCTCCACAACGATCACCCTGACTTGGGCACAGTGGTGCTACCCTCCTCCAAACAAAACCTTACACCTGGATGGACCAGGTATCCTGGATTTGGCGATCAGATGAATGATATGAATCTTAACTCTGGTAAATGCCATCATTTTCTACCATCCTATTTTAATCACACCTACATAATCGTACAGTTATATTTTCAAAAGTTTATGGTTTGTAAGATTTTCTCAGTATATTTTATTCCTGTGATGGCAAAGCTGAATTTTCCATTACTCTAGTTTTCAGTGTCACATGATCCTTCTTATTCATGTACGCTAAGAAACATTTCTTATTATTCACATTCTTTTTCATTTCATTAGACATTATCTGTCGCAGTCTACAGCGGGTGTGCCCAGGAGGGCCACCAGATGACTGTGTTCTGGGAGCACATGGCTTGTGTTGTGTTTGTCTGTCGCCATGTGCTCTCTCCTGTCTATTGTCTTGCCCCTCCCATCTTGTTACCTCGTTATAGTTTAAGTTGATCCACCTGTGTCTCCCTCGTTAGCCTCCTCGTTTGGTTCCCATTTATTCTCCTTGTGTCTGTCATCCTGTGCTGATCCGTCATTTCTCATTGTGTGTGTTTCGTGTCTGCATGTGTGCAGCTTTAGGCCTGCCTGTCTGTTTTTCCCCTTCGGGGTGGTTTGAGTTTGTTTTTGTTTCATTTTTATTATCAAAATAAATAACCATTTCTCCTGCAATTGAGTCCTCGCTTCATCTCCCCGCACGCACCGTGACATTATCGATCTTAAGTGTTTTAATTAAGTCACTTGTGATTGCCTTTTAGGTGTACAGGTGATTGAGAAAAAGGACCTTTTTTGGTATTAACAATGTTATTTGAGATTTAAAAGGAAGAACTAAGAAGTCTTTCATCACTTTTTCGTTTAACTGAATAAGTGACTAATGGACCTTGCAATGCTTCACCTGGAGGCGTCTGTACATCCAACCTGTTAAGAAACAAGCTCTTCATGTACCACAGCACAGAAGAATATTGTACAAGAGATTGGCCTCAGGCTCTATGGTTAAAGACGTTTTACACGCGCACACAGGAACACACGCTAAATCTATGTTTTACAAAATTTAGAGTGTCAAGTGGAGTTTATTTGTTTGTAGTTGTTGTTGTTTTTATAGCAAAAATATACAGTATATATTGTGTGAAAGCTATTTTGTTGCTTTTAATTTGTCTGATAGGCTTCTCTGGGTGTAAATAACTGATTTGAAAAATTATTACAAACATAATACATTGATTACATAAAGAAATGCATACATGTACAAAAACAAAGTATAAAGAGGTTTTATATGGGCTTTATTATAATTTAGTAAAGTGCAGATGTTTCAATTTGTAATTTGCACACACCATATTTATTCTCATTTCATTTATGCATGGATGAGAGCATTACGCAACTTGTCTATGTTGTCATTTGTCAAATTCGACTGCTTTAAGTGCCAGACAATACTGTAGTTTGATTGGATGCACAGACTTTGATGTCAACAACAAAATGAATCTTTCTCCTCTCTTTTAAAAATGTAAATCTTATTTATTTTGCTACCCTAAATACAGTTAGTCACATTTTATTATTGGCATTTGGCATTGTTTCCCCCTGCTATCTTTGATAATCAGAACAGAACTGCAAGACAGGTCACAAACCAGTTGAAAATCACTTTGGTATTGTGTTATATAAATGTTATTGTATTGTATTTCCAAATGGCTCATTACAGCATGTCATTTGTGCATTACAGTATTTAAGACAGACTTGGTTTAAGTTATGACATTGTTGGTCGAGCGTGGCATCCTAGCTAATGAAAACACCAACACTGCAACGCTAGTGGGCGACAACAACACTGCACTGCATCTCGCTGTAAAAATACATTAATTATAGCAGCATGATGTGAAGTCTGTATGTCTTGGAGCCAATCTTAATCTCACACTATATAAACTCCACTCCCCCACCATGAATCCAATTCATGGACGCAGATGGAGGAACAGCCATCTCTCCACACCCCTGCTTGAGGATTACTGATGTCCTTGCACTATATTTAGCTGTTACCCATCTGGTGGCACATATGTCCCTTTCCAAATAAAACTGACCAAAGCCAAGGCTAAACTCTGCACTCAGACTCACCTCTGGCTAGAAACATTCAGCACAATAATCAATCACTCCACATTTTATTGCAGTGGGAGTGGAGGACTAAATTCTTTCACTGAGCAGAAAACTTTAGAGTGACTGTTTTATGCTTTATTATTACACCGTATTACTTGATTCTACTTCCCTACTAGTATCCGAAAAGCAGTACAGGAAATATTTCCAAATTCCCAGTATTCAGAAAACAGCAGGCAAAATTAAATGGAAACTTTCCTATCCCAAGAGGTCACAGGAGGAGCTGTGAATGGCAACTGACTCCATAGGTCACATAACAGTCGCAATATCGCTATGTTCATATTGTATTCATACTACACACATTTATCAAAATTATTACCTACTCTGACAATGTGATTTCGGATGCTTACTTTCAAGTGAACGGTCAAAATACATTATTTGGGTAACACTTTACAATAATTAACTAACACTTTAATACATTAACTAACATTAACTAATGGAACCTTATTGTAAAATGTTACAATTATTTGTTATTAAAGCATATACGTTCACAAAAACACTTAAATTAAACAGAAAAGCAAGCAGGTGCATGATTTGGTTGGGCAGCTAATACAAATAATTAATAACCATTTCCTTACCTAAATCCTGTGTTTGGACCAGGCTCGGTTGCAGAATCACATCACTTTGTGCTTCTGAAATTAGACTATTATCTTTTTCTATATAGTGTAGTAGTTAGCTATCTCTGTGTCGTATGTGGCCGCTTGTCAAGCATGAAAAACACACGTTTTATTTAAATTCTGAATATATTCTAAAAGCAATCAGTTAGACTATTTTACACTATGAGTTAGACTATTAATACACGCGAAACTAAAGTCCAGCCGTCCGCCTCGGTCCGGAGGGGGGGCACAGGGATGTCCATGGGGGGGCAAAGCCCCCTCGGCCCCCCCTCTGGCGCCGGGTCTGCAAGAACATCATCAATAACTGTGGTGATATGGTTAACTACTGCCCCCTATTGGGGGAGTGAGAGGCTTGAACAATAAAGTTGCATGTCATTACGTTCGTCTCACCTGGCTTGTTTTAACACAAAATTCGACAAATAGCCATCCTAATGCAACATGGTGTCAGAAGTTTGCACGAGAACGGCGTAGGAGGACATAGAGAGCCCTTTCGTCAAGAGTGTCGCATACAGCTCACGCTACTTAATGTGAAACTTCGGAGACGAGATCGTTCATCACGTGCAGAAAGGAAAACTTGAAATCGCATCATATGACCCCTTTAATGTGAAACTTCGGAGACGAGATCGTTCATCACGTGCAGAAAAGAGAGTTGCGGAATAAGAGAAAATGGATCGGTTTCAAGTACCGCCACCGCAAAAATTCGACTTCTCAAAACCAGAGGAATGGCCAAAGTGGAGTAAAAGATTTGAAAGATTTAGAGTGGCATCTGGACTTGAATTACAGCCAGAAGAGAACCAAGTGAATACTCTCATTTATACAATGGGTGATGAGGCAGAGGACATCCTCACATCATTACGTCTCACATCAGAACAGCTCAGTGAGTATAATACTGTCATAGAGAGACTGAATGAGCACTTTGTTGTACGAAGAAATTTAATATTTGAACGTGCAAAGTTTAACATGAGACAGCAAGAAGCAGGAGAGTCTGCAGATAATTTAATCACAGTATTGCATTGCCTGGCAGACCATTGTGGATATGGACACTTATACAGTGAAATGATTCGGGACAGATTAGTGGTTGGACTCAGAGATAAAAGACTGTCAGAACAACTTCAGATGGATCCCGAACTCACTTTAGAGAAGGCTGTCATACGCATACGCCAAAGTGAGCTGGAAAAAAAACAGCAAGAGGAGCTGAAAGCCAATTTCAAAAGTGACACTGCAACAAATATTGGCATTGTACATGCACAGCAAAGACCTTATAATAAAGGACGAGGCATGATGCAGAGTAAAAGGCCTGCTAGAATGACAGAGAAACAGACAGCATCAGAAAAGACCATTCCATGCAAGAGGTGTGGAAAAAATTTCACTGCCCGGCAAAACAGGCATACTGCAACCTTTGTAGGAAAAAAGGGCATTATGCTAAAGTTTGCAGGTCCAGAGGCATAAGTGAAGTGAATATGAGCCATGAGGAACATGAGAGTGACATAGCATTCTTAGGCACTGTAAATACAGAGCAGAGTGATGCCCCCTGGCTGATAAAACTTAAAGTGAATGATTCAGATGTGCTGTTCAAAGTGGACACGGGAGCAGACGTCACTGTGGTTTCGGAAGAGCTGTTCAAGGAGGAAAATTTTGGTAAATTATAGAAAACGTCAAAGATTTTGGGACCAGGTCAAGACTCACTGCAGGTTAAGGGTTTGTGCACAGTAAAAATAAGCACAAAAAGTAAAACCACAATCCAAGATATTTATGTGATCTCAGGATTGAAAATGGCTCTACTAGGAAGGCCAGCAATCCATGCTCTTGGGATTATATCGAGAATTGATACAGTGACTCTCGATAGTCTTGAGTCAGTTAAAAGACAGTTCCCTGATTTATTCCAGGGCCTTGGGAAAATGCAAGGAGAGTATGAGATATCTCTAAAGCCAGATGTCAAGCCCTTTTCACTGTCAACTCCCCGTCGCATTCCACTGCCCCTAATGTCAAAAGTGAAACAGGAATTGGAACACATGGAGAATCAAGGTGTGATTACCAGAGTGGAACTGACTGGTGCGCAGGTATGGTTGCTGTTCCAAAACCGCATATGTGTGGACCTAACCAAACTCAATAATGCAGTAAATAGGGAAAGATACATTCTTCCTTCAGTGGAACACTCTCTGGGTCAGCTCAAAGGAGCCAAAGTATTTTCGAAATTGTACGCCAATTCAGGGTTTTGGCAGATTCCTCTGTCACAGAATTCAGCCCTTGTCACAACCTTTATTACCCCCTTTGGAAGGTTCTGCTTCAACCGACTTTGTTTTGGGATATCTTCAGCCCCGGAACATTTCCAAAAGAGAATGTCACAGATGCTGGAGGGTCTAGAGGGTGTTCTGTGCCACATGGACGACATATTAGTGTTTGGAGCGTCCCAGACAGAACATGACCAACGTCTCTTTGCGGTGCTGCAAAAACTGCAAAAGGGCGGAGTGACTCTCAATCAGAAATGCGAATTCTCCAAGAGTAGTGTGAAGTTTCTTGGACAGATACTTGATGAGTCAGGAGTTTATGCAGATCCTGAAAAGGTTCGGGCGATCACACATATGACTGAGCCAACAAACTCGAGTGAAATGCGGAGATTCTTGGGTATGATAAATCCCCTAGGGAAGTTTTTACCTAACATAGCAGAGAAAACACAGCCTTTGAGAGATCTCCTGCAGAAAAAGAATATGTGGGCATGGGGAGAGCCACAACAGAAGGCTTTTGAGAACATTGAACAAGACTTGAGTACACCACCTGGGCTTGCTCTGTACAACCTGAAAGCGCCCACAGTTGTTTCAGCAGATGCATCATCATATGGGCTGGGAGCTGTGTTGCTACAAATTCAAGGTGACAAACAGCGCTCTCCTTGGTTCTAAAAACTTAGACGAATTACCACCACGTATCCAAAGACTGCGTATGAGACTCATGAAATTCACTTACACTATTTCACACGTTCCAGGGAAGAACATTGCGACTGCTGATGTCCTCTCCAGAGCACCTGGAGAAGAAGGAGACAAACCACAGGGTTGTAACATCATTGGTTTTTAAAGATTAATTATAGGAATAAAATCACTATCTTATGTGACAGTGATATCGGGCAAGACAAAAAAAAACGTATATACATATACAAATACATATTTGTCTTACAGTTTATTTTTCAATCATGTAAATGGTAAACGGCCGAACTGGCATGATAACCTGAATCAAAAAGTGAGTCTGAGCTCAAGTTTAAAACACCACAATTTATCCATCTCAATTTTGGTTTAAATGTGTAAGTCATTCACTGTAAATTTCAATATGTTACTTGAAAAAATCTTGCAAACTTGCCTCAGAAAAATTTAGTTAAGGTTTAGTTAAGATCTTACTACGCAATTACTACAATAAAACCATTTTCTTAGGGATTTGTATCTGTGTATTCTTTCTTTCTTTCTTCCGATTTGAATTAAATTATTCGCAATCTGCACTCCAAAGTCTCAATCTGAATCAAAAGATTCGAGAACCCGCTCCAAAAGTTCCGATCTAAAACAAATGATTCTCGATACACGCTCCGAAGTTCCGATCTGAGATTCAGAATATATTCTGAATATATTCAAAATATTCAGATGTAACCCCTTTCGTAATCCTTAACATTTTCATAAGTAACTAATAAATATGACATAAAATATAAGTAGCCTACTTTCTCGACCTACCGCATACTGAAGCGTGTGAGCAGCACAATGTTGCTATGGTTACTTCCTCAGGAAAGCTATACATGGAAAATACACGCTCTGAGTTCAGTTATAGCATTTATCAATACGAAAACGATATATAAATGTATAAAATATAATATATAGTTTAAAAATAATATGCAACCCCCCTCCCCCCGACTCCCACCCCTCATAATTCGCACCCTGGTCACCCAGCGCTCAAAGACGCGCCTCTCAGACGCACGGAGGTCAGCAGAGGCAGAGGCTGGGTGTTAATGGTGGGCTGCGCGTCAGTGAGGGGGGAGATGAGAACTGAGAATCAATCCGTAAGGAAAGTCATAGTGTCAACACTATTTAGCCGTACAGTCAGGCTGCTATGGTCGTCTACATCTGGAGTTTGAACATTAGCTACAAAGACACTACTGCGCTCAATCAAAGTGCAAATGTCAGTTCAGGAGACCCCCCAGAGCCCCACGATACCCCACCTGGCCTGAGCCGGACCGGCCACACGGTGACAGCCGTCTGCCTCGGAATCATTCTGGTGTTTGGATTCCTCAACAACCTGTTGTCCTGCTCATCTTTGCGAGGTTTCGCTCACTGTGGACACCCATAAACCTCATTCTGCTGAACATCAGCGTGAGTGACATACTGGTTTGTTTGTTTGGGACTCCTTTCAGTTTCGCTTCCAGTCTCTACGGGAAATGGCTGTTGGGATATCACGGCTGCAAATGGTACGGGTTCGCCAATTCTCTTTTTGGTAAGTTTTACTGAAGTTCAGTAAAAAAAAGCGTTGTTGCGCCTGCGTTATTTTCTGGCATAGCCTACACTAGGTGTATGGATTTGCTGATCGATGAGTTACGTTTTAAACACAATATCCATTGCCAATATATTTAATAACTAATTATTAAAAGCGCCTTCAAACCAAGAGCTTAATAATGTTCATATTTTAGTAGTTTTTGGGAAGCTTAGGAAAAAATTAAAAGCCAGAAAATTATAGGCTAGGTTTAGAGAAAAAAAATTATAGGCTAGAGAAAGAAAATTACAGGCTAGGGGGAAAAAAATTATATATATATAGCTGTATGACAGATGATCTAGATTTTTGTAACACTAATTTTTATGATTTTTAAAGGTACAAACTGTTAACACACCATGCAAAATGTATAATTGATTGAAAATGTAGGTAATACATAAAAAGGACATTTTTGTCCTGAAGGAAAGTATGTTGCTGCTAATTTTAATCAAGCATTTGATTTGAAAATGTTTTTGTGTGTCACTCAACAGCACAGAGATTCATTCTAAAAAAAAAAGTCCCAAAACTTACATAACCTTAAATATTTGACCAAGAAACTAAAATAATAAATTATAAATAAATACATTTTCAAGATGTTGCAGTTAAAGTGGTTAACCAACACTACTCAAAATACATATAGCATATGCAAAAATAATGCATATGCAAAATTTCTCTTGCTGTAAGGTCAATCTGTAGCCTAAATTAACTCAACTGAATCTTTGTAGCATGACCACAATCACATCGAAACAATAGTTCTGTAGTACCAGTGTTAAAAAAATCATATGATTTCTTTTTTGTGTAAATATTGTCCATTTCTTTTTTTTAATTAAGTACACAATAAAAACATATCTTACTAACTTGTGTGCCTTCATATTTTTGACTACAGCACTTAAAGCAGACTACTGTCAGTTAGATTGTGCTGTAAAGTTTAGTATTAGGTAAATATTTATTTATTTTAAAAGTAAATATTCTTGATCTTATCAAGTTTACAGGTCATTTGATTCTTTTTTTTCAGTCTGTTGAAAACTTTCCACAAATGCTCAAGACAGGCAGAAGCCAGATTTTATCTTCTTTGGGGGTTGTCTCAGAAGTCACAGTCTTCCCCCAGTGATCTGACATTTGAATGGAGAGCCCGTTTAAGGCCGTTAATTATTCTAGTGGGAGTGTTGTGACACCCCCTGTTTCTCTTCCTGTGATGTGTAGAGGAACTGCAGTGACAAGTGCAGAACATGTGGACCTGCAGTGCAAACCCACTGAAGGAGAATGAAGCTCAAAGTTTTTCTCTGTGGTTACCCAAACATTTTTAACAATTGGAGAGTAGAAATAAATATGTTGTCAACTGCTTGTTCTAGCTCCATCATCTTGTGTCAAGTCACTATCTAAATTGTTACAGGATGGGTTGTTAAATAACGATATGTCTTTGATATCTTTGACCTCACCTTCTCTGGAAAACACGATCTGTACCTTAATGAGCTCCTTGAGTCTGAGACAGCATAACAGAAACGTTATTACATTATTCTACATTTCAGTTTAGCTGTAGTCTGTTTCAGCAGTATTTTTTATTGTTACAGTGTACTCTTTATATATTTTAGTTTTAGGAATCAGTTGAATCTTACTTTTCAATATACAAACGTAAGATGAAACAGTTTAATGATCTCTAAATTTATTCAGACTCAGTGTTCAGTAACAACTAAAATGAATTTTGTATGTTTTAATTTTTTATACGTTATTTCAGTTCGTTTATAATCACTGTGCATTGATCATTTTAGAGTTCATAAAAATGTTTTTAATCAATAAATAGTTTTTGTCTAGTTTTAACAAACAGCAATTGCAGTCTCAATAACACACTACCTCAATGCTGCAGATAATGTTGGCAGTTTTTATATAACAGATGCAGGTTGTGCGACTGATCCAGGGACAGAACAGGATGCATGATCATTGAGAGCGTAGCTGTTCTTTGCACTTAACCTCAGACTTCTCTCTAGGGACTGTCCCGGATGTTCACAGTAAATTGCTTCGTCAAACTTGGGTTTATTGTCATTTTTCCCCTGCGCGACAGAAAGTTGTCAAAATTGCTGTCATTGCTTTACAGCACTTGGTGTAGACAATGTTTTTAATCAATAAATAGTTTTTGTCTAGTTTTAACAAACAGCAATTGCAGTCTCAATAACACACTACCTCAATGCTGCAGATAATGTTGGCAGTTTTTATATAACAGATGCAGGTTGTGCGACTGATCCAGGGACAGAACAGGATGCATGATCATTGAGAGCGTAGCTGTTCTTTGCACTTAACCTCAGACTTCTCTCTAGGGACTGTCCCGGATGTTCACAGTAAATTGCTTTGTCAAACTTGGGTTTATTGTAATTTTTCCCCTGCGCAACAGAAAGTTGTCAAAATTGCTGTCATTGCTTTACAGCACTTGGTGTAGACCGGCAATATATTACAATAAAATGACATTTCGAATATTCACATTTTTCCATATCTGTTTTCTTTATCCCAACATAGGAATTGTGTCTCTGATGTCTCTGTCCATACTATCATATGAGCGTTATGCCGCCCTGCTGCGCCCCACCAAGGCAGACGTGTCTGACTTCCGCAGGGCCTGGCTCTGTGTGGCCGGATCCTGGCTCTATTCGCTGGTCTGGGCTCTCCCACCATTCCTGGGCTGGAGTAGCTATGGACCTGAAGGGCCCGGGACAACATGCTCAGTGCAGTGGCATCAGCGCTCAACCAACAGCATGTCTTACGTGATGTGCCTGTTCATCTTCTGTCTGCTTCTACCCTCTCTCTAGGGACTGTCCCGGATGTTCACAGTAAATTGCTTTGTCAAACTTGGGTTTATTGTAATTTTTCCCCTGCGCAACAGAAAGTTGTCAAAATTGCTGTCATTGCTTTACAGCACTTGGTGTAGACCGGCAATATATTACAATAAAATGACATTTCGAATATTCACATTTTTCCATATCTGTTTTCTTTATCCCAACATAGGAATTGTGTCTCTGATGTCTCTGTCCATACTATCATATGAGCGTTATGCCGCCCTGCTGCGCCCCACCAAGGCAGACGTGTCTGACTTCCGCAGGGCCTGGCTCTGTGTGGCCGGATCCTGGCTCTATTCGCTGGTCTGGGCTCTCCCACCATTCCTGGGCTGGAGTAGCTATGGACCTGAAGGGCCCGGGACAACATGCTCAGTGCAGTGGCATCAGCGCTCAACCAACAGCATGTCTTACGTGATGTGCCTGTTCATCTTCTGTCTGCTTCTACCCCTAATGCTCATGATCTTCTGCTATGGCAAAATCCTGTGCATTATTAAAGGGGTGAGTGAGAGAGGATTTATTCATTATTATATGTTATACATATATGTTATTATTTATTAAATGAACTATATATTTTTACACCCATCATTAGAGTGCTGGAAGAGAAACATAAAACATCCATGGAACCTTTCCATTGTACAAAAAGGTTCTTTATAGTGGAAAAAGTTTCTTTAGATCAATAAAAAGTTCTTTGCACTAAGAAAAATGGTTCTTTTAACTGTTTACTTGAAGCTTCTTTGGGGTTCTTTTATA